TCATGTTTAACAGAAATTCTCTTTTTTTTTTTTTGTTCCTAGCAGTTTTTTCTTTTATTTGTTTATTTTTTTCCAAATCTTTTTGTCTGAAAGGATCTAAAAGTTCAAAAAATTGAAAAAAAAAATAATAATTTTTTTTTCCAAAAACGTTTAGTGAAGATAAAACAAAAATTCCAAACTCCACCTAAACTTTCTCAATAATAATTTTTATTTTTTATCACTTGTTAGAAGCATTATCTTTTTTAATAACAAGTACTAAACAATAGATTATTTGGAAAAATATATGCTAAACGAAGCTATGTATGGGGTTATTTTGATTTTAGTAAACCAGTCATATGTATATTTATTTAAATCCGTATCTTATACTTAATAGCAATTCCATTAAAAATAATTTTGTCAAAAAGAATATAAAAAGCAAAAATAAGCAATATGTAACTTGCTAGGTTTGCGTGGATATTTACTGATCATTTTATTCAATCATTTTATTTTATTTTATTTTTTATTTTATTTTTTTGTTATTGTTGTTGAAATTACATTTAAAGGGCTGAATTTTAAAAGTTTGCCTTGGGTCCCAAACATCTTAGTGCCGCGCCGGCCTGGTTATACCATTACTCAAATATACATAGATAAAATTGCATTCACCACCCAACCATTTTATGAGAAAATACAATAAACTTTATAAGTTTGACATAATTATATTATATTCTTATTAGAATTTAATTTACGTATCACTTAACCCTTTTTTTTCATCACTAATTCATTATTCATAAAGATGAAAGAATGATGTTATCACATTTTTCAAATTAAAAAGTATGTATTGATTTTTTTTGGCTTTCGAAGGTTAGTATTGTATTTTTAAGCTTGCCAGTAAGGATCTATCAGTCCTTACAGAAGATTAATTGACAACCAATTATCAGACGATTGTGTTTTAGTTCTTTCAGCCTCAATGAAAATGACTTTTACTGGTAGCTTTATTTATGAGAATTTAGAAAATAACAATTAAATGAATAACAATTGTAGCATTTCATTAAGTAAAAATGAAAAACTTACAATGATCTGATTCAGTCTCGTAGAGGTTTACAGCAACAAGTTACTTGAAACTACTTCTATAAATAAAGTGTAGTGCAGGAATTTGAAGTACAGAAATATAAAGAACAAAAAATGTAAAAACTGGAAGGAAAATAAAGTAAATAAAAACTGGTTTCTAGATCTGAGTCCGGTGCCTCTTTCTAGGACCTTCTCTGCTATTTATACTTCTCAATGATAACTGTCGAAATAAGCTTTTAACCGTCGATGCATTCCTCCATAATTGCTGATCATGCTTCCTCATACTTAGCTCCACTACGCCATGTTTGCAGTTAGACTTCCTTCCTAATTTTGAATTTGAATCTTGTGAATAACCGTTAAGCCACATCATCTTATATCCCTTGATCATTCCAGTGTTATGCAGACCCATTATTGCGAGTATGGGTTGATACATATCTGACTATGGTTGGCGATTTATATTGCCTTTCCAAATTGTCCTTCTCATACCATGTGTTGAATTGCGATTGGCTTGTACAAAATTTGTAGCCAACAGTGTGTTTTACATTGTATATTTGTATCTTAGTTTGTACCCTTTCGGCCTTACTAATGCCTCATTTGGCATGCGAGTATTTTAGCCTAAAAGTTAAAAAATTATTAAAAAAATTAAAAAGTCAAAGATTTCATTTTCTCCCTACTTTTTGCATACCTTTTCGTAAAAAAAAAAAAGTCATTCCAAACATACTAGTTTTTTTTTTATCTCATATTTTGACCAAAAAATTAAAAAATTACTAAAATAGTTTGTTCCCAAACGAGGCCTAAAAAATAGGGTTAATTGCACACTTTTAACCACTATGGTTTGAATAAAGTTTCATTTTGATTCATATACTTGAAATCTAGTCTTAGTTTAGTACTTTCATTCAAATTGAAAAATTAATAATTTTGAGGCATTTATCAGTCTCTTAAAGGGTGTATGTAAGAAAAATAAAAAAATAAAAAAATTGGATGGAAAAATCGAATTAAAATTGAACTTAAAAGTGTATCGATTAAATTATTCAAATCCAAATTATAGGGATTAAAGTGAAATTTAAGTCAAACTATAAGGGTAAAACATAATTAACCCTAAAACTACGTCGGTGTAATTTTACTAAAACCATAGTTTAGCTTCTTTTTTTTTCCCTTCAAATTTTATGAGAGACAAATGTAATTCACTTCACAAAAGTTATTGTGTTTATTTTAGTTTTTGGAAAAAAGTACAAATAAAAAAGAGTAAATTAAACTCATTTTTTTAAAGTTTGAGAAAAATAGAGTTTGCGCCACAAATTTGGAATAATGACATTAATTTCTCTTTTAGTAAAGTTAAAGTGATCAACGTAAAGTTAAAGTGATCAAAATTAATACAGATGATAGGTAGACAATGAGATAAACAATATAATTATATAAATATGGGTTTAGATTATCTCAAGTTGGTCATCAAACTTGAGAGAGCCTTTGGACTTGGCTGGCCCAATTTGAGGCTAACTTTGGTGATATGAACATGTCACTTTTTATTTTTTGTTGGGTAAGCTATTCATGTAAAAAAATTAAGATGATTGGATATCAGTAATTATATGTTTAAATCATATTTGTTTTAAAAAAATAGATGACAATTATAATTTTAAAAGTTACCATCCATTTGTTGTAATGTAAATGTGATTAAAACATATAGCTACGGTTATTTGATTATTTTAATTTTTTGTATGAATATTATACTTAACGAATATTAAAAAATGAATAGTTTAAATCATAGAAATCGGCCTCACTATAGGTCCACCAAGCCTAAACTTCCTTTCAAGTTGACATGACCAACTTGAGCGAATCAAAACCCTATAAATATACACTTTAGTACAAATAAGATGATAATACTATCTTTTCATTCATACAACTCACAAATTATTGATTGAAAATGACCGTTGTGGGATTGTTTCGGAAGAACTTTAGAGGCTAAAATAATTAATAAAGACAAATTGTGGGTGTTTGAAAAGTTACTATTTTAATAGGCTGTTTTAGTTTTTGACTATTTTAGTAGGTCAAAATTTTTATATTTGGGAAGATAGTCTAATTTTTTGTAGTTAGATGTGATGGTAGTGAGAGAAAAAATGAAATGATTATAGATTTGATGTGACATTTTATCTTATTAACTATTTTAACATATCTTATTTTTTTATAAATTTTAACATATCTTATCTTTTTATAAATTTTAATCCAAAAAACTAAAAAATAACATTTGCCAAACACCCGTTAAGTGTTTGGGAAGTGAATTTAAGGACTAAAATAGCTTCAAAGTAAAAAAACAAGAAAAAGCCAAAAAAAAAAAAAAAAACATTTGCAAACAAAAAAACAAGTACAACCCATCGGTCCACGTAGGGTGTGGTACTGGCCAACACGGGAAAAAGATGACTTTAGCCTTAAAAGTTTTTGAAAATGTATAATCATTCAAAGTAGAGGTGGACGCAATAGAACTTTCAAGTCGTCATCTATCCGTCAGATCGGTGAATTAAAAAAAATTAATCCGTATCAGTCGGTTAATTTGACAGATGTGAATTGAATAGATTAGCGGATTGACGGATGGATGCGAATTGGCTTAGCAATTTAAAATTTTATAAATTTTCAATATAATTCAACTTGTAAAAAAGAAGTATTACAGCCAATAACTTATAAATCACTGCATGCCTTATCCAAAGATAGAAAGTTTGAAATTTTAGAATATTACAATTACTGTATGTCTCATCCACATATTACAATCACAACATGTCTCATCCACATAAAGTATTACAATCTGTGGTTCTTAAAATATAAAAATAATTCAAACCATCAAAACTATGAACATAGCAGTAGTAGAAATTGTATGTCTCTGTATTGTTATATTTTTATCTGTTTTTAAAAACAAAAACCAACAAATATATATCATATTTTCTATTTATTATTTTTAGAGTTAGATTTAAAAACCAAAAAATATAGATAAATAATACATTTATTTTTTTCAATTAAAAAAATATATTCAAGTTGAAAACTTTTTTTCAACATAATATATTCAATAGAATATTTAAACTTTTTTTTAATTGAAAATACAAATAGAATATCTAAACAAATTGTAAACACAAAGTCTTATAAATTATTAGGGGTGTTTGTGGTTTGGCGGTTCAGTTGCTGCCAAAGGAACCTCAAATCCGTCATCTGTCTAAAACTAGGCGGATTGAAAAAAATCAATCCGTAACCGTCCTCTCGTCATTTCGTATCCGTCCAAAATGCGGCGGATCAGATTAGTTCGGTCGGCTTGAGCGGATCGGTATCTCTGCTGCTCACCCCTAATAAAAACTAAAATAATCTATTAAAATAAAAAATAACCAAAAAGTCAAAAAATGTGGCCATTTTCCAAACACCCACTCAAAAAATGTTAAAATAATTAATATGACAAAATATCACATCCAAATTATAATTATTTTACTTTTTCTTTCACGATTATCAAACAAACTAAAAAAAAAATTAATTAACTTTCTAAACATAACTTTTTTAGCCAGATTAAAATAATTAAAAAGTCAACTAAAATAGTTAACTTTCCAAACAAAACTTTTGTAAATTAAAATTTTGAAAGAATTAATGTAATTATGTCAAAAATATAAAATTAATTATATATACATATTTTTAAAATGGGGGAGGTGATAGTAATTTACCATAAATAAAAAAAAACAAGCACTAAAAGGACAATTTTTTTTCGGGTGTGAAAACAAGAAACAAAAGAGAATTTTCTTTCTATCAAACCTTGCCCATATCCATGTTATAAGTTTACGACCTTCAAAGTTCAAAATCTTTCCACTCTCTCAAGATTCGTTCATAAACCCTAGAAAAGGTGAAACCAATTATATCATCATCATATTAACTTCTATATATATATATATCTATCTATATATATATATATGTATGTATAGCCTCGCTACTCTGTTCTAATTCTGTCGTGGCTATTCTTCTCATCAACCAATCTTTTCTTCTACGTTTTCTCGTCAAAGATCATCTTTGACTTGGAAAAGTATATATATAGAGGAACAAAAAATTGAGACGCCTTTTTAGATCAACCCAGAAACACTTGGTGATTGTCAAGTATACTTACCAACCCATTCCATTTTTTGATTATTTTCTTTGTTTGGTTGCTGAGATTCTGTGAGAAAATCAAATTGAACAAAATATCAACTGGGTTTGTCTCTCCCTGAGAAAAAAAAAGAAAAAAGAATCAAATTTCTTAGTTATTTAAGAATATTCAAAACTGTTTGTGCTTTTGTTGACCATCTGGTTTTATATTAAGATCAGATCCCAATTTCCTTTTTGTTTTCTTGGCTGCCAAATGAAAGTTTGTTTTGTGGGTATTAAACTGTTGTTTGCTTATACTTTTTGGTTTGTTTGGGTTTAGTTTACTAATCATGGCAAGGAAGATGCTAATTGACGGGGAGCTCGAAAAATTTAATCAAGTGGAAGTTCACTATGATTTTGATTTGTTTGTGATTGGGGCTGGAAGTGGGGGTGTTCGTGCAGCTCGATTTTCAGCTCAATTTGGAGCTAAGGTATTACACCATGACTATGAGCTATGCTTTTAATTTTATTTTTGTAGATCATATTAGGGGTGAGCAGCGGATATACCGATCCGTCAAAACCGACCGAACCGAACCGATCCGCCGCATTTTGGACGGATGCGTGATGACGAGCGGACGGTTGTGGATTGATTTTCTCCAATCCGCCAATTTGGCGGACGGATGGCGGATTTGAGATTTCTTTGGCCGCAACCGAACCGCCAAACCACCAAACCGCAAGCACCTCCTAGTAATTTATAAGACTTTGTGTTTTCAATTTGTTTAAATATTATGTTTGTGTTTTCAATTGAAAAAGAGTTTAAATATTCTGTTAAAAAAAAGTTTTCAATTTGAATATATTTTTTGAATAGAAAAAAATAAACGTATTATTTATCTATATTTTTTGGCTTTTAAATCTAACTCTAAAAATAATAAATAGAAAATATGATATATGCTGGTTGGTTTTTGTTTTCAAAAATATATATAGATGTAACAATACAGAGACATACAATCTCTACTACTGCTCTGTTTATAGTTTTGGTAGTTTGAATTGTTATTATATTTTAAGAATCACAGATTGTAATACTTCATGTGGATAAATCATGCTGTGATTGTAATATGTGAATGAGGCATGCAGTGATCGTGATATTCTAAAGTTTTAAACTTTCTTTCTTTAGATAAAGCATACAGTGATTGGAATATTTTTTTAAGTCATTGACTGTAATACTTTTTTTTTCTTTTTTTTTTTAAGGAAGTGCACAAGTTGAATTATGTTGAAAATTTATAAAATTTTAAACCGCCAAACCGATTCGCATCCATCCGCTAAACCGCCAATCCGCTCAATCCACATCCGCCGGATTGGCGGACGGATGAGGATTGGTTTTCTCCAATCCGCCAATCTGGCGGACGGATGACAGATTGGAGGTTCCGTGGCCGCAACCAACCCGCGCCCACCCCTAGATCATATTCATATATAAGATGTGAAGATCTATAGTTGACTAGTTGAATTTGTAATTTTGCATATTATTTATAGATTATGTAATATATATGACAAATAATTTTGTGTGGCCTGTGTGATTGTTAGTGGTAAGTGGGTGTGTGAAATTTTCATCTTTCTCCCAAACCCACGGCCAAATGAATTTAATTAAAAATTTGATTTCTATTGGTGTATACAAATGGGATTAATTAGTACAAAATTAGAAAATTTGTTAAGTTATTCAAGTTAAATAAGTACTTTTTTTTTCTTCTTTTTTTAAATTTTCAATGCAATTGCCAATGACTAATAATAACAATGATGCTTGGGAAATCGACAGCCTAGATAATTAAAGTCCTTTACTACCTGAACTTCTCCATTTTTTGGGCCTCGAAAACAATATGAAATTCTATGATATTTTACAGAACATATTTTAGGTGCCACAATGTTGATTAAAAACCATTACAAACATTCAAATTATGATAAATAAAGTTAGAACATGTTCTTCAATGAGTTTTGTTGGTATTTGCTAGTGCTTGAAAAAATTCACAAGTTTGGTTTCAGATTCCAAACTCCCAATACCGTCTTACACACAACCATGACTGTTGCATCAACCGATACTGCAATTTATTTGCTTGACCCATAGACTTGTTTTGTTTCTCTTGCAATTTGGTTTTCATTGGTGTTTAATCCATATTTTCATTCCTTGATTTGGAAGAACTTTTCAGCAGTATTTTACTTAGTATTCTCCTGACGATCAATTTGATTTTGCAAGGTTGGAATTTGCGAGCTTCCATTTCATCCAATCAGCTCAGAAGTTATTGGAGGAGTTGGTGGAACGTAAGTTTTTTTAAGACTATAACTTTAATAGTATGCTTTCTAGTGGCCTTTGCCATTTTAGCTTTTGGATATAAATGTTAACCATTAAATCATGGTTGTTGACTTCCATCTGTTACTTATGATTTTTGTTAAGTTAACTGAAGGTTGTTACTTGAATAGATTATCTGTCATCTTAATGAACAGTATGAGTTATTTTGAAATGGGTAGCCTATATGGACAAAGCAATGGCCGTTAAAATTGAGATCCAGCACTCTGAATGTTGGGTCATCATGGGATGATCCTATGTTGGTGGTCAGAAACTAACTGTGTTGGACATGATCTGCTAGTATATAGAAGTGAGGTGGGTGCCTCTTGGATATCCCATAAAGGGAGATGTGTATTATTTGTTTATAATTCTGTAATAAAGTACTTATCAAAGAAATACAAGTAGAAGGGTTGCTGAGCACATCGTGGTTGTATGTAATTATTGACAATTACTTGAAAATGAGATGTATTGTTTCCCCTTAAAAGATTCCACTCTCACTTGTTGGAATTTTTTTTGACCATCAACAAAGAAATATTATTAATAAAAAAATAGGAGATACAAAAAAGAAATACAAAGGAGGACAATAAGTCCTCCAAAAGGACCAAAAAATAAAAAAATAAAAAAAATAAAATGTACACACCACAAATCAGCCACAGCTCTCCAAAATATACTGATCCAATGCTTTTGGAGCATTATCTTTGTCATTACTCTTCGGAGGAGACTCCTTCTCGGTTGGGGAGAATTGATGCGGATGAAGGAGAATGGAGACTGAAGACGTATTTTAGGTGCAAAAGGGCATTAGTTTAGGAATTTTAGTTTGTTAGAACTATGTTTCCATATTTGGATTATTTCTATTTTATACTTAATTATTTGTAGTTTTTTTTTCTCTCTATTTTTTTTGTTGGTAGAGTAGCTATATATAAACAGGGGTGTATGGATAAAACTTACTTCTTTGCATGAATGAATATTAATTGAGATTTTTTGGAATGCTACTTTTGCATCTTCTTCTCTGGTTTTCTAAACCACTTAACCTCAACCTTTTAAATTCTTAAGTATTTCTTGACACTTCTAGCTTAAAGTTGCTCATTTTGTTTCATCAACCAAGACTATATTGGTCCTTAGATGTTAAATTAGTAATGATTTTTTTATTTAATTGTAGTTTTTTATTTTTATTTTTTATATATTATAAATGTTAAAATCCACCTACTCTCCACCTACTTCACCCACTTAAACCTACTCCACTAAACCTAACCCACTACACCACTAAACCTAACCCACTACACCACTACCACCTCACCTACTCCACTAAACCTAACCCACTACACCACTACCACCTCCACTTCACCTACTCCTTACCTACTACACACTCACCCTCTTCTATATATAGGAATCATGAATCATTGTAATAGATATCAATATATCAATCAATTATAATACATACAATTTATTCTCTCTCTTTCTCTATACATTATTTCTTACAATAAAAAAATAATAGAATTTGAGATCACATATAATCTTTGTTGTTCTCATGCGCTGCAGGTGCGTTATTCGTGGCTGTGTTCCCAAGAAGATTCTGGTTTATGGAGCATCTTTTGGGCCAGAACTTGAGGTGAGATAATAGTTTATGTCAGAATGACATGATATATGACATTGAATTATCCGGCGAAAATTATAGTTGAGGTTATTAGCATTTTGGTCAACTTTTTCCTGTTTGCAACAGCGAAGTTAATTTTTCAGATGAAGGACAAAGGTTGGGAACTAGTGAGAGTCGTCTGCAGGTTTCCCACAATCTTGTTCAATGTGGTCATATAAATGAATATAGCTTTAAAACATATATGTATGTATGTTTTCAAAGATAGAAGCTTGAAATTAAAATTATCCGGTTGTACATAACTAAACTAATTCTATTTACCTAGAGACTGAAATGCATCTTATGTAAAAGATGGAACTTCTGTTTCTGACATTGTATGGTGGTTTATTTATTTATTTTCCTTTAGAAGTTATCATGGATTTTAGTTAGTATACAGAATCGTGGGTTTGAGTCCAAGGAAAACCACTTTATGCAAATGTAGCAGAAGTTCTGTGCCCAGTCTCCCCTTCCCACCAACACTTGGGATTGACACTCATCAGTTAATGGCCTTCTTATATGCTAAATACAATTGTCATAGATGGTACACAAGATTACAGCTGGAAAAATTGAAACAAGTCAAATATAAAAAATTGGACCCAAAAGTTGTGATTATCTAAGTTAATGCACAATTGATATTCATATCAGTTTTGATAGGAGAATATGCCATGTATATGAATAGTTTTTGAAGAGAAGATTGAGATTTTGGTATACATCTAGTGGTAGAAGCTATTCGAGCAACCCAGGGCGGATGTGATGATTAGTTATGATTGTGATCCATCTGTGTTCCTTGTTTGCCTGGCAGTTTTTTTTTTTTTTTTAGTTATATGTCTTCTCAAGCTGCCTCATTAAGGATGCCTTGAAATGATTTTCTCTTTTTGTTATAAAACTCACTTTTATTAATTGTTGTTTTGGTTTAGAATAATGCCATCCTTTATAAGAATGTAGTGAAAAATATTTATTTAGTTTATGTGGTTATTTGAAATGGTTGATATAACTGTTGTTTTGGTTTTGTAGGATGCCAGAAACTATGGGTGGGAATTGAATGAAAAAATTGATTTCAATTGGAAAAAGCTTCTGCATAAGAAGGTCGGTGTTAAATTATATGTTTTTATTTTATGCACAGTACATACTGTTATTAGATTGCATGGTAGCACCTTTATATGTTCACCTCTCTTTCACTAATAGAAACCAGGGAAAAAAACTTGGTCACAAAATGATTACTGTGAGCGGTGTAGTTACAAATTTACAATGAGCAAATAGTGGTTGTAACTTGTACTGAAATGTCAGACTAGTGAATCAGTGGTTTAAAGATTATTCTTATGATGAAAAGTATTAAGTGCTGCAGAAATTAATGCTGGATTATTCTTACTGTGAACTTGCTTTTAGAAACAAAATAAAGAATCAATGCTGGATTAAAACCTTCATCAAATGTAGTCTTAGCGTAATTGGTCTCTGAACTTGCAAAAATTTGTGGGAGAACTGGACTAATTCTGGTTGAAGTTGGTTTGCACTGTCATCATGTCTGGATTTACTTAAGAAAAACTGAAGGTTCTAATCCTTTTAGGTTGCACTGTCATCATGTCTTAGGTTGCCCTTTTCACCTCTGTGGGCTGGTGTCTCATTTATCCTTTTATTCCTCTGCCCTCCAAAGAGGACTTCATTATATACAGAAGCTGTGAAGAGTACAAAGGTACTCTAGGATTTATAGGTTATGCTAATTGTATTATGAAAGAAGCAAAGAAGAAAATACTTTAGCTCCCTCCTTTAAACATCTTTCAAAGATTTTGGCTCTAGTGAGAAAGCTATTTTTTCTCTGGAATTGTGTATGGCAGCTATAATTTTGGTTACCTGGATTGCAATGAAATCTAGGAATTTTAAAGGGGTGCAATCCAATAAAAGGGCCCTTAAGGACAGATTTTATGTTTTATCTTCCCTGGGGTTTAATTACCAAAGCTTTTGAAAGGAAGCCCCTTTCTGTTATTAGAAGTGACTGAAGGGATGTGATTTCTTTTTCTTAGAGCAGCAAATCTGGGCCTAGTGGAACCTCATGTGTATGGATGTTTGTTATTTTGGAAACACAGTTCCATTACCAAGCTTTATCTTCTGTTTTTGTTCTATTAAAAGCCCAGGTGTTAAAAGTTTGTTATCTTGGCGCCTATGTTTCTTCCCAGTGGGTTTAATGGTCTTTGAGTCTTACCATGAGTTATTGGGGAGGTATAACTTCTTCTTAGAGCAGCAGCATGATGTTTGTTCTCTTGAAAACACAGGAATTTGATTTACGATTAGAGATGTAATGGGTAGCATTATAGGCTTGAGGTTGCCATTAAGAGATTTTTCATCTTTCTTGGAATGCCTCAAAGAAGCCTCTACCGTGTTTTTTCTGATGTTTGTCTTGTTGAGGCTGATGCAGAAGTTGTAGTACCTTGGGTGAGATCTTGGTCCTTGGGTCTCCGTATTATTCTCAAGGATTTTTGATTTCTTGAGAGGTAGAAGTTAGATTGATTATTACATTTGCTAATTAACAGGTTGATTTATTGGCCTAGGAGGGAGCTCCCATTATGATGGCAGTTGAGGATCAATTTTGAGCACCTTTTGTAGTTACGGTACGGGGCTATATTTGTTGGGGGCTGTAGGGGTCATTTATTTTGTTTTTGTGGTATTCAATTTGCCTTTTCTTTCCACCCCCCTAAGAATTGGATGATACCTTATCCATCTTTGCCGTTGTACTCTTCTTTTCACTATTGAAATTTGTTGTTTGTCATTGAGAAATGAGTTCACATGATAAAGTAGAAGCATCTTAGAATGTTTATAAAGGAAGTAAAGAAATATAGAATCATTAAGCCATATTGCATCTTTCAGTAGAAACCTTAATCTCGAAATTGCTCATGGGTAGAAGTGCCATCTAAAATGTTGAGAGTGGCAGTGATTCTTAGTAAATAAATGTGTTTTTATTTCAGTGTGGGTGACTTTCTGGCAGTACTGTACTAATGTTCTTCTGTCTGAGATAAGACATATAGTCCTAGTTTTGTCTGAGGTCGACATTTCTTTATTACTGTACACAAATTTCTTATTTCCATTTTCTGTTGGGTTTGACTTACCCATAATCTCTTAATGAATTGAATTCAGTTTTTTGGAAGTTGCAAAGTGATGTGTCAAACGATGGCTGAATTATGTATCTGTTAAATGCTCAATTATAAATTTTATTCTTACAGTGGTTTAGATATTAAAATAATAACTAGTTTTGTTCTGTAAACAAAGTTGTTTAACTCTGCTATTTACTTAATGGAGTTTGACTTGGATTTATGACTGCTAATCGCACACTGAGTTACATGGACTTGGTTTGAAGTATTGGTTGCCAACTTGCCAGTGTGTATATAGCTCCCTCCCTAATTCTTATATCCTGGACTTGCGCTCACAATGGTATTCTCAAAGATTCGATTGTATTTTCTTCAATTCCTAGTGAAAAATAAAGTCTGTTGTGTAACATGTTTGCTGTCAGTAACAAAGATAGCAGATAAAGACAGTATCTAAGGAGGGAGCAATAAAAAACTCAATCTTAATTCTTACCCACTGCTAGCAAAAAATATCAGGTTTTATTATTTTTGTTTGTAACATACCTTCTGTGGATAGATAAACACAAGTGGGCTTGAGTACAAACATCTTGCAGGTGTGAGACTTGGAGAAGGCTGTTTATCCCTAGAGTGCCATACTAAGCGAGTACCAGTCTTTCACACCGGAGTATAATGTTGACGGTCGTTGGAGATGTGGCCAAATCGTGGGCTCTTGGGAATCATGGTAGGCACAGATGGCGCAAAACACCTGTGGTGGAGAGGGAGAGAGCCGAGGAAACATGAGAGAGAGAGAGAGAGAGAGAGAGAGAGAGAGAGAGAGAGAGAGAGAGAGTTGCAGCAAGGGGTTGAAGCCTCTGAGGAGTTTGAGTGGGAGAGTGAGCTCTCCTTAAATGTGCGTTTCTGTATGTCGGGTTACAGAAGTAGGTTGATACTGACACTGACACTGACACTGACACTGACAGATGTAGGTGTGATACACCTTTCAAGGTACAATAGTGGGTAGTTGTGATACACTCTCGGAGGTGTCACATGACTTTGGTCAATCTTGGTGTTTGTGCAGAGGCTGATCTCTCATGTCTAAGGTTGGTCAAAGTGGGGTCACCCCGAGGGGTTGAGTTGGACAACTTTGATGATCCCTTAGTTTTAACTGCCAATCCACAAGTCCCTTATAATCTCTTGCGGGTTATGGCTTGCTCGGGCACCCCATGATTGAGGCACTAACCCTGGTGTCCATAGGCCTTGCTCCCAGTGTCTCAACCTAGGCAGCTGTGATATTGTTAGGGTGCATGTATCAAGGTGGCAAAAGCCTTGGTGAGGCAAGACAAAGTTGTTGAGTAATCAGAGTGCATGGCCCCTAGATGAGGTCCTGAGTGGATTCGTCCGAGCAATTTGAGGGGAGCAAGTTGGAAAGGAGATTATGTTACTCGCCACATAAGAAATTTAGATACATATACCTAGCACTTTTTGTTGCATATACATTCAATATTAATTGTATTGGACACGTGCCAAATTCTATACTTATCTCTTCTTTTACTTGAGTACATCCCATGTTTTGAAGTGTCCATGCGACATTTTCCATAATTGATTTAGTAAGATCTTACAAGTCAGGAGTGCATCAAACCAAGTACGGAACTGGGCTTGTTTTTTTTTTCCTGACAAAAATGCTTGCCAGCTTGTTGTAAAGGAATAAGAAATGTACTGTTCTCATGGTTCAGTACATTTGGACATATCCATTGCCATTGGGCTTGTCATAGGTCTCCTCACTGAGGTCAAAGGGCGCTTTACTAATAATTTAACGCATGTTGGGACTTTACTATAATTCTTGGGAAATGTCAGGCCTCAATAGTTTTTATCATTTTTTACTCTGCTCTGTAGAAGGGAGTTGAGCTGCTTCCACATGTACATCACTAGTTCAGGGGCATCATCACATATTTACTGTTACGGATTCTCTTTAGCTTCCTCTTTATATATTATGATCTTAAGTTTCTTCACTTTGTTTGCCCCATTTTAGACTTGGACTTAGATGCCTTGTTTAAGTCTAGGTTCCCGAAGTTACAAACCTAGGTTTAATGCTAAGATTGTCCACTTCGGCTTGATTGCTTAATAATTGAAACTTTGACTTTAGTTTTCTAGGTAGATAATTCATTATCTAGTTTGTATTTTTTTGAACATGTTATTTGCTATTTATGTGTTTAGGGTTCGTCATTGTTATAATTATGCACATGATGGTTTTTAATATTTTGTCTTTCTCCTTCATCTGTTGGGAATATTGCAGACAGAAGAAATACTTAGATTAAATGGAGTCTACAAACGGTTACTTTCAAACGCAGGGGTTAAATTATATGAAGGAGAGGGAAAAGTAGTTGGTCCTAATGAAGTTGAGGTGACGCAACTGGATGGAACTAAAATATGCTATTCAGCAAAACACATACTCATTGCAACTGGAAGTAGGGCTCAACGTCCATCTATTCCGGGGCAGGTAAATTTTCTGATTTTTATTATATATGACTCTAATTCTGGATGCATGTGGTTGATCTTTCAAGCTCTTGACTGTCCTATTATGTGAACTTTTTGCTTGGAACATCACCACCAACTTTCTAACTGATAAACTACTTGAAATGAATGTTGATCCACAATAACTCTTAGTGTGTTATGTAATTATGTTATCTTTTTTCCCATCTTGTGTTATAGGAGTTTGGTATAACCTCTGATGAAGCCTTGAGCTTGGAGGACTTACCTAAGCATGTTGTCATTCTTGGAGCAGGGTTTGTCTACATCTGCATCTGTCTGTTCTATTAAGTTTGGTTAGCATGGTTATGACTTTCAGATGATTTATTTCTCTTGTTTAGGTACATCGCTGTTGAGTTCGCTTCAATATGGCGTGGAATGGGTTCTACTGTTGATCTTTTTTTCAGAAAAGAACTTCCATTAAGGTTATACTTGGTTCTACTTGCAATTTGCTTTTCTTCCAAAGTACAACATTTTTTTTTGTTAGTATATAGTACATTGCAAAGGCTCCAAGGGGTTGCTTCCGGTATACAAAGCAAAACAAACAAAAGAATCACCTATACATCAAAACTATTCAAAACACAAAATCCAAGAATTGGTTCAAAGAGGGGTCAACACTGCCCAAGAACCACCTATCTATTTATGGGAAAAAATGAGTCTCTACTCCATAAAAGTCCTTCTATTGTGCTCCCTCCCTCCTTATACACCCCATCAACGCCAAAGGCCCCAAGCACTAAGTCTTCTTCCTTGTCTTATCCACTCTAGCTCCCTCCAAGAGTGCAAAAGCTCCCCAACACACTGGATAGGAAAACCTACACTATTTCAAACAAACCGAGAGACAAAGTCCACACTGCTCTAAGCCACCAAACAACGAATAAGCAGGTGATCTGTTTCACCACCGTGATTTGCACATGCAACACCAATTCACATGTATTTGCTTACTCCAAATAAGATTATCGATGGCAAGAATGTTACCATGTGCCATTGTCCAAACAGAAAACACAACCTTTGAAGGAGACTTCGTCACCCAAACTGCCTTCCAAGGAAAATAAACATGTCTGAAGCCCATCAGAACTCTGTAGAAAGACTTCACCTCGAATTTGCTGGACTTTGACCTCGACCAAAACAAAAATTCCCCTCCCTCTCCCTCTCACATGCTTGGACAGTTCATAAAGCATCCCAAAAAGATCCAGTAGTTCCTTTACTTCCCAGTCACTGAACTCTGGTTAGAAAGAAATATCCCCAAAAAACATGATGCTCCCCTCTCCAGATATAGTCACTGAGAGCAGCTCTTCTGTAGCAATGCTAGCAAGAACTGAAGAAGCCACCTCCAACCTCTCTCCCCGCACCCAATATGATGCCAAAGACAAACCTGCATACCATTACCCATGATAAACCTCATTTGACACTAGAAATCATTCCACGCCCTTCTAACACCCTTCCAAAGACCCACTCTATATGACAAAAAAAATTCCAAAGACGTCCAATCTTCCCACATGAACCTATGTATCATGACAATAAATTTTGTTAATTATATTCAGAAACTTCTTTAGCTTGGGCTTTTCTTGGGTATTACCATATTCTTTTTCTTTAGCTTGGGCTTTTCTACTGCATTTGTGTTCTTAATTCTGTTTCTCTTGAAATTTTTTAATGCAGAGGTTTTGATGATGAAATGAGAGCAGTGGTTGCAAGAAATCTGGAAGGCAGAGGAATTAATTTGCATCCTAGGACAAATTTGACAGAGGTATTATTATATCTATTGGAATTGTTTTTATTTACATGTTGGAGATTAGTGATGCCCGCATTTTTTCTTTTTGAAAACTGAGCTCTAATGATACTTTGATTATTTAGTTGGTTAAAATGAATGAGGGGATAAAAGTTCGCACAGACCATGGTGAAGAAATAAGGGCTGATGCTGTACTCTTTGCCACTGGTAATTCTGAACTATGTCCTATTTACCAGCATATAAAAATACTGAGTTTATGTATTGTTGATTTACATTTTAATCTTGCACGAAGAATATAAAGCATATGATTGCACTTGATTTGAGACTTAATCCCCCGTGAATGGTGTTTTATATCAATTTATGGTGGTGCTGGTGGCTAGTGGCACATATTTCTTTTCTTTTCTAAGGCAACAGTCTTATCCTATTGATAAAATTGACCTCATTGTTGTATCAAATAAAACCATTCATGATTCTTAATTTTGAGATCAAATTGTGAGAAGATACTTGGTCTTGCCCTGTGGTTCAATATATTTTACATCAGAAGGTCACATTTATTTATAGTTCCTCACAGAGCTGGACTACCCTAAACTCACATCCTCTATACTCATATCATCCCATGGTAGTTTTGACATTAACAGCCATCGGTTTAGATGTACATGTTTTACATTGGAAAATGCTTTCCATGCAAAGTGTTTTGCATGAAAAAATTATTCTCTTTATTTTGTTGGTGTTTTGAGACGTTGAAAAAGATTTTCCAAGACTAAAGAAATGTAGTATGTTCCTGTACAAGCATGTATTCTACAGAAATATACCTTTTTGTACTATTGAATGTATAGGTTAGGATATAGGTATGTATATTAGCAAATATATATACATGCATATCATAGTGTGTACATATATATGCATGTATATACGTGTAGAGTATAGGTATGGATTGTTAAGCATGTGTATGTATATGTTTATATATGTATTGGGTACATCATTGAAGAGTTTATTAGGAAAATGATTTGAAAAAAAATAATAATAAACAAATCCATGCCATTTTAGGCTTTTGAGTGGTAAAACATTCTCCTTGAAAATCTCTGTAAAATATTTTATGTCCAACCAAACACTGGAAAATTATGAAATGTTTTACATCAAAACAAATGGGTGTCAGTAGTTTATATTTCAATTAACCACTTGCTAAAATTTGTTCCAACATTAACCAAAAGATTTGGTCTTGGGCTAACCTAGTCCAAAAAAGAAGATTACCACCAAACAGGTCCTCAATGAAGAAATTGTCTACATTTCAATATCTCGTGCAGTCATCTTCATTGCTTTGGTCATTTTATTTTCTAGCTTTTCTTCCATATGCTTTGTTTCTATGTAGGTATTGCATTTCATATTTGTTGATCAAGTCCCACTTATCTTCTTTGCTGCTCCTTTGTCCTCACTGTTTTACATCAATTCTGGTAATCACAGAACAAACAACAATCTGTCACTGCACCTAATACATTCAGCTCTGCATTCCTGTGATGTGACCCATACATCTGTTCAATCCAGATTCTTGGGGCAACACCACTGGCTATAACCTTTGATTCCCTCCCTCTTCTATTATTGATCTACCCACAGCTTTAGACGACACCCATTGTTGTTGTGATCTTCGCTCATCTGTGTGTTCTTCTCTTCCCCTCCCTACTACATACTACCTCAATATGGAATCAGAGCCAAACCTTGATCCATTCCATGTGGTGGTAAACTTGCTCTTTTGCTGCATTGACCTAGTGCCCCATTGCTGTACTCTTGTTGTACATCATCTACACAAAGACCATCTGCATAATACATAGCCTCCACAAGTTCTAAGTGAGACTAAAAGGACCCAAATCCATCTTCATCAGTTCCCAGAAGCCAGTTCATCCATTCAGATCCATCGTTGACATTGTGATTGAGCAAGAGCCAACCAAAGTCATCAACACGAAACGGTGTATTTAGTGATCCAAAGCTATCCTAACTCTTTTTTGTTTCAATATATTTTCCTTGAGAGGGAAACAAATCAGGGGAGAATTACAAAAAAAATAAAAAATAAAAAATGGGAAGATCAAAAAATAATTACAGACATATAAAAACATTACACTACAATTGAAAAGATGTAAAATAATTACAGAACCGTGAAAAAAAAATTCGGTACCAAAATTCTCTTCTATTTCTCTCTCCTTTCTTCCCCTCTCCCTTGCAACCCTAACCCACCTACAAACCTTAGGCCACAACCAACCAACCCCTACCCCCGGAACGACTAGCCTCTCCCCTACCCTTTGCAACCCATCCTTGCATTGGAGGATGGTGGGGAGGGGCTGCAAGCACAGGGGAGGGATTGACCGATGGTGGCTTAAGGTTTGTAGTGGGTTAAGGTTGCAAGGGAGAAGGAATTGAACAAGGGAAGAGAGGAGAAGGAAAGGGAAGGGAATTTTGATAATTTCACCATTTTGTAATTAGTGCTTAGTGTCTAATATTTTATACAATCAGTTCCAAGCCTAGATAAAGAAGGGTTGGTTGTTAGGTAGCCTGACAGCCAATACGTAAAATCCTTGTCAAATCTATTATGAACATGAATCTTGCCATGTGTAGTGTAATTATTTTTTATTCTCCATTCTTTTCTAATTATTTTTGGCTCTTTCCATTTTTTTTTTTGTAATTCTCCCAAAAATCAAATATGATGAACTAAAATCCAAGAAGAGCGGAGTTTTGGCAAGACAACTTAAAAAATAGGTTATGATGCTCATAGAAATGTGTTGTTATATGATGAATTTGAAAAAAAGAAAAAAAAGAAAAAAAAAACACTAAATTTTATTGGATGCCTTGTTAAAATAAAACTACTCTTGGAGTATCTTAAATTTCAATAATGTAAGTTGTACAATTCTATCATTGTCGTACCATATTTTTGAGCGCGTGGGAACTATGTTCACCTTCCAATTCCATGTACCCAATGTTTTAAGCAATGGTGGCTGTTGTAATGGTAATGGTAATGGTGGTGTTGGTGTGGTTGTGGGGTGTAACGGTCATAGTGTAACGTTGGCAGCAACCAAAGCTATGAATTTTTTACTTGTTCACAAAATTTGGGATAATTTACTAATGCACACGTTTTTATTTCAGAAATCATATTTAGCGAAGGTTGAAATGGCTTTTGGTGAATTTTGTTTGATTTTTAAATACGATCCAACAAATGTCTTAATTTTTACACTAGTTTTAAGTCACTATAAAGATTTTTCTTTTTGTTGGATGCGTTTAATTTTCTTTACTTTACTAATTGTACTTGTGGATATATATATATATATATATATAATGAAGTATGGTTAATATTAAAAGGCGTGAATTACACTGACCTCCCTTGAGGTTTGAAGAAAATACAATATGACCCATAAGTTTTGCATAATTATATTGGGCTTCCCTAAGGTTTTAATTTATATAATACTTTGCCCCCCCGTTTTATAAAAAATTTGTTAATCGTATGAATAAAAAATAATAATGTTATCATCTCTTTCACATTGAAATGTATATTTTACCTTGTGTATCTTTGTGTCTTCATACCATCTACATTAGTTTTGGTTTCTTTAACCTTACTAAAAGGGAGGTCAATGTAATTATGTCAAAATTGTGGGGCTGCTTGTATTTTCTCCAAACCTCAAGGGAGGTCAGTGTAATTTACCCTATTAAAAATGATAGTCTCATACACATAATAAAAAATGATAACATACATATACTAATGTAAAAGTACATAACATGATATCCAATCTATGTTCAACAAATTTAACCTAAAACCAAATAGGCATAAGTTAATCAGCAAAGAATCAAATGAGAAAATAATTAGCATTTGTTGAATAGGAAAAATAGTAATGAAAGTTTGAAAGAAACGAAAAGAGAGGACTCAGCTCATTTAACTTTTATACTGACTCAAATCTTGTAGAACTTGAAAACAGAACACTTTTAAGTATGTTGATCTAAGATTTTCGAATAAGTTTTATATACCTTTTCTGTGATTTTAATAGCTAAAAAAAATGAGAAAAATGATTTGATTTACAAAACTTGTAAAACATAGAAGTGTAATGGTCGTAATGGTGTTGTAACGGCCACTACAATCTTTATGTAATGGTAGCAACCGTTATAGTTGGGAATTTTATCACACTATTACAGGGGCCTTAACGGATGGCGGTAATCACTGAAACTGTTATGTAATGGCATTTTATAATGATTGATGCCAAATTTTAAATTCTTGCACATACCAAAACGATTCATGATCCAAGTAACATAGGGCCGTGCAGTGTTATTAAAGGCGATAAGTGCACCAAGGTGCCAAGGTCTCCTGGGGCCTAGGCGCAAGGCGAGGCGCAAGCTTCACCGAAGTGAGGCACATCTTGTACGGAAAAAAATATAATTTAATATAAGGAAATAATTTAGGGTTCAACATAAACAAAAGGAAGTGTTAAACATTTAGTGTTTTTTGAAAATTAAGAATTATGGCTAATTTTTCTTCTATCATTGATTTGGGGTTGAATGCCCAATATATTTGCATCTGTAATAAGAGTAGGGATCTTCTATAGTTGCACTATATTAAATCAATGGTCAGATTTTAAGCAAAATCAGTTAAAGAAACAATAAAAAACCCTCAACACGCAACCCTTGGGCCAGTTAGGCGTTGTATCACAGTCGCCTGGCCTAAAACACTACAAGGCGCAAACCTTGGGTTTGGAAAGGACTTGGGCCTAGGTGCGCACCTAGGCACACCTTATCGAAGTCGCTTGGCCTGGAACACTACAAGGCGCAAACCTTGGGCTTGAATGGGACTTAGGTCTAGGCGGGCCTTTAATAATGTTCCCCCAACTACGCTCAAGTAAAAAAAGAAAAAAAAGAAAAAAGAAAAATCTAATGAATAGTTGAACAGTCACTTTAGTTTCTGATTTCTAATGTAAATTTTTAGGTAATTATATATTTTTTCTTGATCACAGGTCGTGTTCCTAACACAAAGAGGTTGAATTTGGAACCTGTTGGTGTTGAGCTTGACAAGACTGGAGCTGTAAAGGTCACTATCTTTTTCTTCACCTTTTTCATGCATTTCTTGCTCTTTGATATAGTTCATATGGCAGTATTCATGAGCATTAAAAAGAGGTAGATTGGATTTTTGGGCTTTTTATATAGTTTTAAGTGCTACACTTATCAGAGATGGATAGCTGGACTTAGTTTACTAGGCACATGCTGCTTATTCTAGCTAGTTATTGTATAATTATTTTAGGTCTCGTGTAACAAGAAAGTTTTAATGGTTCTTAGTGTTTGTAAGCTTCTTATCTTTAATTTGTTTAACAAGTTGTTCTTCTTGATCTATTATTACACGGGCTGTTTGATGTTGGCGAAGGAAATTTGTTTTGTTAGAGAAAAAAATTGTTTGTACCATGAGAAGTTAACGTCTGTGAGGTGTCCCACTCATTTCAGGTAGATGAGTACTCTCGCACAAACATACCAAGCATATGGGCCATTGGTGATGTTACAAATAGAATGAATCTTACTCCTGTGGCCTTAATGGAAGGAACATATTTTGCGGTATGTGGTCAATCTAAACTTTTATTAGTTATCGTTATTGAGTTTGCATTCTTTTTGTGATTAGTTAACATTCCTATATCACTAGGTACTTACATGATACAAGTAATTTCATGTTGACGGATTCAATTTTTTGTGTTGCCTGCAGAAAACAGTTTTTGGTGGGCAGCCTAGCAAACCTGACTACGGCAATATACCTTGTGCTGTGTTCTGGTACAATTTCTGCTCTTTTTGCACATGCTTCCTTTCTTTCTTCCCTTGGGTAAATCACTTCAGAGTATCCATCAGTATAGTGAAAGACTGAAAGTGCTACAGTTTTAAAATGGTTCTTGGTACAATTGTAAAAGAATTATCCATATTCAGAGCTTGTAACAGAATCTAACTTATTATGTTGGCTGGAATTAAAAAAATTACTAAATTTTTTTTAGTATGGCATATCTCTATCTGAATGATGGATTGTTATGCATAGATTAGCTCTGCTAATTGACATTTTTTTTTCCCACTAGGCTTTATAAATTAGAAATCATTAAAGGTAGGATCAAGTAGCATGATGATACAATTATGTGGGTGCGTTGCCATTTCTCATTATACAGTTGATATATTATATTTTATTTGATAAACCCCTATACAGTTGCCGTATAAAGATACATTTTTCTTCTCATTTTTTGTGTTCCTTTGTTTTGTTTTGGCTTTTGCTTTTGCTTTTGTTTTTGATTTTGTTTTTGTTTTTCCTGTTCCCTGGTAACTTTGATTACGTGGAACTTCTTGAGTTTATGTAGTTTTTAGTCTCATCTGCAAGAAGTTTTGTGGGTGTTAATTGTGCAATTGGATATCTTTCTCTGCTTTTCTACCTTTGCATCTTCCTCATATTCACTGATGTACTTTCTTTGACTACTCATTGTATTCTCCTCCCCAATCTCTCTCATTGTTTTTAGCAATTGGGAGCTTGTATTTGCTTTTGCTTTTGTTTTTGTTTTTCCTGTTCCCTGGTAACTTTCATTACGTGGAACTTCTTGAGTTTATGTAGTTTTTAATCTCATCTGCAAGAAGTTTTGTGGGTGTTAATTGTGCAATTGGATATCTTTCTCTGCTTGTCTACCTTTGCATCTTCCACATATTCACTGATGTACTTTCTTTGACTATTCATTGTATTCTCCTCCCCAATCTCTCTCATTGTTTTTAGCAATCGGGTGTTGGTATGTACACTTTATGCTCAATTTTTCCCTCATATTATGCTTGTTTTTCTCCTCATGTATCTTTCTGTAATTACGTACATGTCGATGATAGCTAGCTTCTCTATAACTCCATTATTTGATAAAAATAAGTAGTTCCATTTGAAGAGTCTAATCAATTAAGTCATTATTTACAGAATGTTGACTAAATTCTGAGTGCTTTTTGTGTCTGCATTTTTTGGAAATGGAATTTTGTCTAGTACAGGACAAAATTATTGTTTGTGTAACAGGGATCTTAGTTTCTTTAATTGAAGTTTCCTTTTCCCATCCTGTAAATCCATCTGGCAACCTGTTGCTTTGATGATATTATTTATAATCTCAATATTCTGGAGTTCACCTTGTTTTTGATACCTACTTCGGTTTTTTGCCATTGGTACTTGTGTACATTATATAACATGTGACCAACTATCAATTTATGTAGCAATAAATGCCATTATCATGGTAACTAAGTTATCATAAATCATCATATTTTCAGTATTATTTATTGTTAAATTGTGTCGTCTTTTGCTTCGCAGCATACCACCCCTTTCTGTAGTCGGACTCAGTGAAGAACAGGCTATGGAGCAAGCAAAGGGTGATGTTTTGGTTTTCACGTCAACATTCAATCCTATGAAGAACACCATCTCAGGGTACATGATTGGACATCTATATTTATTAGATCATTTTAAAGGCTTCAAGGGAAACAGATTACCTTGGTGTAGAAACTTGTTTTAATCTCATAATTTGCATGGCTAGGGATTTAGAACTTCTTCTGTCGATGATTCCTGCCTGTTCAGTACTTAGAAGTTATTAATTCAAGTCTCTACCTGAGGTCAACCTTCTTATTATCCTACTTGCTTATAAAAACGAAAGCATCAAATAAAGACTTGAACACTTAAACTATGTTATAGTGTGATACCCAGCTCTGAAGTAACCTTAGGCATTGTCTAAAGATAGATACTCATCAATCATGTCTTCTTGACATTCAAAAAACTTTGAAGTTATGAGGAATTATTGCAGATGAATTTAGCATGCCATGATAGTAAAAAACAAAAACAATGTGCATCTTTATAATATTGTTTTACCCTTGATTGTATGTGTAGGAAGAATTTGTTAATTCATTGGACTTTCATGTAAGAGGAACATATCCATTTGAGCTTCACAATTGCTCGTGTTCTATCAAGTTACAAAATTGTCTTCTTCATCTTCTAATATTTTTTTCCCATGCAAAATATATTTCACTGGAAAATAAGTAGTACGGGAAGTGGAAACTAATTTCTCTTTTTGAAGTCCTTGATAATGTGTGTTTCTTGTATCCCATCCCAACTTGATCCTGCTCCATTATAGATGTGTGGATCCCCCATATGTTTCATTTCTTCCCATAAGCTATGGTTTGATTTGATAAAAGTTATCACCTGGAAGATTAAGGGGTGGTTTGGCATCCCCTATATAATCTATCTTTTTATCTTTTTTCCATCACATCACTTCTTCACTTTTTTGCACATCTTTTCGTAAAAAGACAAAAAGTGCACTTATTTAGATCATCCCAAACAACCCCTAAGTTTGAGGGACGTATCATAAATGCTGTTTGAGAAATGTCTTCCAGTTTTCCGCACTACTTATGTTAGGGCCTTTGATATGCAGTTTTGTTAGCTTTTTTTGGATATCGGTTACATCGAAATTAGTTGTTCATGCTTAAATGTTTGTAGATGTAGCTCGACCATTTGTATTACCTTATGATATTGCTTCAATAAACTGTGTTCATTCTTGTTATCATTTTGTCAATAGACGGCAAGAGAAGACGATTATGAAGCTTCTTGTTGATGCTGAGACAGATAAAGTTCTTGGGGCATCCATGTGTGGGCCAGATGCGCCTGAGATTATGCAGGTATGGTTGTCTCCATGCAATGGCTCATAGAGCATATAGGTTTGAATGCATGATTTCTTCATTCGCATGGAAACGAATAATTTATATATTGGTATTTTATTTTGATCCTGAATAGAGTACGAATTTGATGTGGAACTTGAGCACCATAAAAATGAAATCGGTCAGGGTTCCAATTTGTTTTGTAGAATGATCCAAAAGTGTACTTAAATTTTCCAAAACAGTGTTAGTTGAGTTGATCAGTGTGAAAGGTGATCAGTGACAAAGACGAGATGATACCTTCTCGATTCAACTAACACAAGGAGCCTTCCTAATACTTGGGTTGTTGTGACTATGAGGACCCGTCTTCTGCTTTTTTACTCTCTGTAATGTGTGATGCTATATCCTCCATTTAAACATTGTTGTTGCATTTCTCACATCCTTCACCTAAATTTGCTTTGGCCTTTGTATTAATATTTTGGTACCTTCAACTTGGGTTACCTCTTTCATCTCAAAGCATTCATTGGCCTTTGTATTATAAGCATTCATTCAAGTCCATTACAAACCTTTTTTGGCTGCAATCATTTCTTGATTCATTTCGCCAACTGCTGCCTAAATCTCCCGTTTTATTGGGTTTTGGCTAAGCCTCAACGTTCTGCGCTATGAAAAGTTAGGTTATGATTGCCGTAACAGTTCTCATCAATTTTATTTATTTATTTTATATTTTAGTTGATCTCTATCAATGTTACTTAGAATGTTAATCGTTCTGGTATGTAAAATGAGAAAGGGAACGTGGTATGTCACATGTTCTAAAATATAGTACGATAGGGGTAGACTTGTATATATTACACATAATTTACTCTTAGAGTAATTTTCTTTTAACTATTAGGTACAATAAAATGTAAGTTTATTTATTTATTTTTTTTCCAAATTAATTATGTAGCAAAACAATTTTATGAACATTATGACTTATTTTTTATGTTTTGTCTTGTCAAAATTTAACTTACCTTGAATTTTATTTTATTATATTTGATTTTTTTTCTTTATAAGGAAATATATTGGAAAAAACTTTTGAAATCACTTTGGATCACTAAATTTATTATTTTGAGACGAAAGTGTATCATGTTTCAGAATGTGTGCTCCAATACAATATTTGTTAAGGTACTAGCATTTTTTGATAACACAGATCTTTATATATTCAGCTTTTGATATTTTTTGGGATATCCTTCACAGGGCATTGCTATTGCACTCAAGTGTGGAGCAACTAAGGAACAATTTGATATCACAGTAAGCGCTCATCACTTTTCTGAAATATGATAGATATATTACTTATTGCGACAAATGTTCTCTCACAACCTTCTTGTTCTTTTATTCTGGCATCTGAACTTATGTTTGTTGAGCTTTGGAGATATTTATTGGAATTTTTACTCAGGGTAGTGTATTATAAGTTGTTTGTCACTGATATTTGCCCTGAATTTCTTACTTTTAAATTTTTTTTTTTACCCTTATTGCCAGTTTCAACATTCATGGAATACTCCCATCTAAAAATTATAATAATGAAAAAAATTCATCGAATACCTCTCTGTTATTACAATGTTTTAATTTTACTTATTTTTTTATTTTTATTAATTGTTTTTTGGGGGGGGCTTTGGTGACAGGTGGGCATACACCCTTCTGCTGCAGAGGAATTTGTCACTATGCGATCAGTGACTAGGCATCTTACTAAGCCGAAGACAAATCTCTAAACATGAATAGCTTATAGAAACATATATTTGTGAATTGTAAGCACTCTTAGACAATTTGTTTCATAATAACTGGCCACACAGGAAAAATGGAGACAAGTATTGGACAACGTTGTCTGGTTGAGCTTTGGTCAAATAAATGATTTTTTTGCACCTGTGAATGGGCAGTGTGTTTTCTTCCTTGGAATGCAGTTACTGTTATTACTTTCGTATTTACATCTTAAGCATATAACTAGGTATAGATTTGGATGGTTTAGTCAACTGTTTTCTCATATGTTGGAGTTGTATCAAAATCTCTACTTAACTGTTTTCTCATATCTTGGAGCTGTCTCAAAATCTCTATGAGCATGTAGCAATTTTGTTGCAAAATCTCTCTATGAGAGTAATATTGAGCACAATGTTAGTTGCTTTAACTAGACGTGGGCTTAACTCAAGAGCAATGATAGAATTGGGATTGCAATTTGTCAAGAGCCAAAATAGGTTATTTCAGAGGCAAAAGCATGCTGGACACAAGTCACAAAAAGCTAAAATAATAAGCTAACATGTGAGGCTAACTAGGCATGCAAAAAAGAAACAAGGAGGGGAGGACTAAAATGACATAATCCGTTAAATTAGGAGGCAAAATGGAGCAAATTGAAACTACATGAACCAAATTGACACTTCGTGTAAAGTACAGGGACTATTTGCATAATAGTAATCCAAGTAACTTAAATTATAGTCCTACTCTCGACACTCCTACAAGTTAAAACCCGCACAACTCTATTCCTCAGAATTTGAAAAATATAAAAATAAAATAAGGGTAAGCTAGATAACCCAACAAATAACCACGTGCTACTTTGATTGGTCATCAACACAAACAAACAAGAGAAGAGGAGAGGGGACAACCGCAACCCATTTGGGGCCTCAAAACATACTTTCCACCAGCCAAGGTGCCACGTGTCCTGATCATAACGCCGAAGTAATCTCAGCTACGCCGAGGTTATCTGCGAGAATACCGGAATTCAGAATAAGCGGATAAGGGATAGATCATTTTCATTGTGACTGGTATTGTATGCATCATTTTATAGGACAGTCACAAAGAGATGATTTTATAGGACAGTCACATAGATCATTTTCCTTTGATTTTGGAAATTTGTCTTTCCTGCATTATTCTCCTATCCCCGCACGGTTTTTCAATGATATGAAAATGAGTAAACATAATTTATTTTTCCTGCCAATGTTTTGATTATATTAATTAAATACCTTTATATGTAGGTATATACGTCTATACATAATTTAATTTATTAAATACAATAAGATAAAAATACTAAAAGATTCACGCATCTCTCTTATTTAATCGATGTAACTATTATCACTAATGAATACTATGTTCTCTCCCATTGGTATGATGTTCTCCTGTGAGTGGAAAATTATCTGTACACCTTTCCGTTCCGTACCTTACCACTGCCCCCTCCCCCAACCTGTTCCTCGTCGGGCAAGGATATGTTCCTCACCAGGCAATGATAGGATACCACAAAACCATCCTCGTCTCGTCCCATTACCATTCTTAAAGGGAATATATATTAATTCTTGAGCCAAATTCCTGAAGTGACCAAACACTAGTTATAAGATTATTTTAACCAAAAAAAATAAAAAAAGGCAAAAACAATGAGTTGGTTTCCCTTACTATTTTCCTTTTAATCTTCCCTTACCAATTCTGAGCTCCAATCAAAGTTTTAAAAGGAACATTTATATCCAAATGACAGGCTCATGATAGGAAACAATCCAAAAAGGATTTTGACAGGTGTTTTCTGTTGGCGACATGGCTAAGACGCAATCCCAATTGCCAATGAGTGCTTGTCTACAACTCTGTCCAACCATTGGTTAACATAAATCAAGTCATGAATGAAGAATAAATTGAGACCAATGGGTTGGCTTCACCAAATGACCAAATTCAAATCTCATAGATGTGTTATAGAACTTGTTTCTGTATTCGAATCTCATCAATATCATGAAAAGTAGTACAAGAAGTAAAACATACATACCTTAAAAGTCTCCAATAGAACTACCAGGACAAGAAGACACCAAATACAACTTATGACATGACCAAGCTAACCACATAACCTAAACATTGCAAAACAACGAGAGAATAACATAACCATAAAAACAAAATAAAAACCAGATTGTACACCTAAACCACTGTCTTTCCTTCACACATATCACAGATTGTATATCCAAGGCCTTCGCAGTAGGGACACTTCGCTCCTTCATCTACCCATTCCATAAACTGCACTCAAGCATAAGATCAAAACCTTAAATAGCAGCATGCTATGGTTAGACGAGCAAAATAATGGAAATATGTTGGAACATCCTCTAACCTGTGGTTCGATGTTTGGTTCACCTGTCCCGTCACATTCTGCAAGAGCAATAGATGTTAACTGAAGTTGGTTTTGAAGACAGATCAAGGCTATTTTAACTCCAGTAATGCTATCTATCATTGCTTGTAAGGGCCATTAATGGACACAGCCAAACTCTAGTAAGCTATTATATTATATACATATATATCTATATATATATATATATATGTGCATTTCAAAGAATCAAAAAACCATCACCTCATCTCAGTCAGTACACTGATCTAGATTCAGTTCAAAATCATTGTGGAAAAAGAAATTAGTTTGTGGAGACTGTTGGATTGTTCACATCTTGGTTTGATAGCATGGTTTAAGATCACATTGACTTCAAAACTTCTTTTTTTTTTTTTCTTTTTTATGCTAACTTTTTTTTGGTAGCATGGTTTAAGATCCCATTGACTTCAAAACTTAGTCTTGGATCATTAGCTATGCCTCAAATGAGTCATTATAAAGTGTCAATTAGGATTTCAGAACCAAACCAGGCAACTATTTGTCAGGGTAGTGTAACAGGTCAATGGTTATCCACCTAGTCAATAGTTGAGTCTTACTACAACCATTAATTATTTTACACTGGTTTCGATACCCAATGATAATCATAATTGAGGCCTTACAAACTGGATCTCACTTCAAAAAAAAATTACTACAGAATGATGTGGTATTAGCTGGGTGCCTGGGACTAGCCCACTACAAACAGAATATATAAAACCAGTAACTCACATATAGAATGATGTGGTAACTGCTAAATTAGTTGTCAATTGTTTCAAAAACAAAGCGCCACAAGTTTGCTTTGCACTCTTGGAAAATGTTTTTTTCTCTCCTTCTATAAATCCGTTTTCGATTAGCTGAAACCCATATCAATATGGTCCTAAATTTAAGCTCGTACAATTCCAATTTCTTTCAATGTGATATGACTGCTTTACTCAACACAAAGATCCTTGTTCATTACATTTTGAAGGCCAGATAGATACTGCTAGGGTGCCCTGTTTTTTAAATTACAGATAATTGCTCCATTCTTCATATGCATGAGGAAAGCAGAAATTTTTTTCTGTTTCATTGGTGTAAAATAGGGAAATGATCTTGGATGGCTCTGAATGGTAATTGAAGCAAGCAAAGCAAAGCAAACCCTCCCCCTCCCCCTTTTTTTTTTGTATGAAGAGACGAAGGTGAGTCGTGAGCTCATTTGGGATCCGATTTCTTTCTAAAGTAAGGAGAAGTCCCTGGTTCTCCCATAAAATAGAACCTTGAAAATTTTTAAATATTATTTTAGATGTCAACAAATGGGTAGTCCAAACAGTTACACACATCTGTTAAAGTGAATTCCTAAAGGACAATGTGCACAGTCTTGTGTTTATTTTCATCACTCCTCTCCCACATCTGAGATGCCAATAGCACATTAACCGGCCAATTTACGTTACAAAATAGTGAAATCATGCTCACTATTTATATGTCAAAAGAAGGGAAACGGGCAGAGGCTTCCTCTTCTATTCAGCAAGGGAAGTCATCTACTCTGCAAATATTTACATGTCAAAAGAAGGGAGATGGGCAGAGGCTTCCTCTTCTATTCAGCAAGGGAAGTCTTCTACTCTGCAAATATTTACATGTATCATTCCTAGTGGACTGAGTTTCATATCATATTACAATAATAAGGTAGAATTGAAAGAGGACAAAGGACTATGGGATTACTAAAACTACCAATCAATGGAGTGGCTAGATATGACATTTAGAATCACGTTAACAGGGTAATTAGCATATTGAAAAACGTAGATACCTGTGCATAATAAGCGACCCTCCCCGCGACAAGACAGGCACTTTGTTATACGGTCCTTGCTCTTGGCCCCACCAACCTGTTTGCTCCTGCCAGCAAGCCTAGAAGGTTCTTCCCAACGGTTCTCTCCAAGAAGAAATACTCGGTGTTCAGATACCTCAACTTCTGTAACACCACCTTCTTCCACAACTGTTTGCTGAATTTCTGAAATTTCGGTTATAGAAGCAACTGCAGCTCCATTTGCACCCTCCTAAATAACAACATAACCACGTACTTACGAATTTTCTAATTACCAGAATTTAGGAGATTGAGCAATTTGCATTAGAAATTCAGAGTTCATCGGTGAGTGTTAACATAGCTTGATCAACCAGTGAGTCTCACCCACAGATATTGCCAAAAACCATGAGTCAGTGACAGTATATTACCATGAACACTAACAAAATTTGACTAAAAATCATAGTAGCACGACCTCCTACTAAGGACGTCAATCAGTAAGTAACCTAATTCACCCTTAAAATGAGTTGGGGTTGGCTGCTGTTTTTCATGTATTTTGTATCTGAAAGAAATTACTCCCTAGAATGACATTAAAACTTAATTTTAGGCATTCAAGCCAAAAGCATGCATTGGAACTACTTTTGAAGCTTATATATGTCAGGTACCGTAATAGATTGTTAATATTGTATACAACAGTGTGTTTCATGCTAAGAATACAACCTGCTAAAATTGCTCTAGTTTTGTTGGGTTGGAATTATCAGCTGCTTCGGAGGCTTTTGGGGATGGTAATTAGTCATATAAAATGGGAGATGATAGTCTGCACACTACAATGTCCAAGCCAAATTACTTGAGCTTCACAATGGTAGCACATGGAACATAAATATGATGAAATCAAAAACCAACCAAGTCAATGTTTCAAAATAGGAAATTGGTAGAATCAGAATCAAAATCAAAAGTAAGGTTCTCTAAATGGAAAAGCATTGGACACAAAAACAAAATCAAAATCAAAATTAACCTTCTGAACAGCAGTCAAATTATTTCCTTTTGGATCCACATTTACTGCCAAGCCAGAAACCCCAATTTGTTGTTCTCGATATAACATTTCTTGGAGTTCAGCAGTCATAATTCCATCTTCACGGGCACCTAATGTGGCCTGTCAAGCAAGCTTATGTGATCACGAATCATGTAAAGGAGAGATAGCCAAACAAGAGAAAGTGAATATTTATATCATCTTTACATTGTCTGTTGGATTAAGAAAAGCTCACATTAATCTTCATCCTGATAACTCATGGGAGTTTTCTGCATGTAGAATGAAACTCAGAACTTACTTGCCATGTTTTTACAGCACGCTCCGTCCCACTTGAGAAGCTAGAATATTCCACATCTTCTTCGCCAGAATAAAAACCCAATTTTTGCAAGGCTTCCTGCCAAAATAACATAAACTAAGGACATGACAAATTTTATAATAAACCCCCTTATAATATCATAAGCACACAATCATTAGGGCATATGGGAAAATATGTAGATACACATGTACAAACACAAATCCCAAAAGGAAAAACAAAATGAGCTTCCCATTAAAACACTATATAATTCAAGAATATGCCATTACAATGCAAATTAAAAGAAATTATTACCAAATAATGACCTATAGGAAAATGATCCTCTTTACCTATTATTTCTATAATGTATTAAATTTTAGCCATGATATAAAAATTATTTTGAATTTGCCCTTCTACTGTTTTTTATTGTCCTTTAATTTTAACCCTTGGTAGTTTTCTTCATAAATGTAATAAGTTGTGTAAGTAATTGTTCTATACCAAAATAATTCATTACACCCTGCTCACTACAAACATACAGCAAATACAGAGAAACGTATATATAATATAAGGTGTGACATATATATGTGTGCGTATATTCATATATTTTTTAAAAGTTGAAAAAGTTAAAACATTTTTAATCCCCAAAGTATAAGTTTTGTGACGTTTTGATCCAAACGTTTAAATGGTACCAATTTAGTCCTCAATATATAAAAAATGTTTCAATACGGTTCCCTAACCTAAATCCGTTCAATGGATGGCTTCAAAAATAGGAATAAATATGTAATTTTAGACATCAAAATGCCACAAATCACATATTTTGGACACTAAAATTGTAATTTTTTTCAGTGAGTTTTCACATTTATATTGACTTTAACGGGTCCAAATTGAAACACTTTTTTATACATTATCAACGCAATTTAAACATCGATGACTAAATGATACAAACAAAATTTAAGATATATTTAACCCAGAAGAAGAAGAAGAAGAAGCTCAACAGATGCACATGTATCATCAACAAACAAAAACTCGCCTTGTTAAATTTGACAGAAGAGAAATTTCATATTGCAAGCAAGCAGACCTGCATCACTCTAACATCTTCTCCTTCCGATCCCTTCCTCAAGGTCGCTCTCTTCTTCTCTCTTTCCCCTCTTTCTTCTCTTCTCTAACAACTTCCTTCACAGCCACCACCTCCTCCTCCACCTTCCCACCACTCTCCGCCGCCTCCAGCACCATCGGCACCGCGCTCGAACCGCTTTCCAACAACTCCGCTTCCTTCTTCAACATCTGCAACAGCGCAGCAACATTTTCCACCGAAACCCCATGGTTTTCGCTCTGGCGCTCCAGTTCCTGAATCCGGAGCCTTAGGGCTGAGATTTCGCAGAGGAGGGATTCTCGCTCGGCTTGCCACCGAGATTCCTGGCGGAGCCACCGCTGCTCCTCCCGAAGCCACCGCTGCTCCTCGCGGAGCCACCGGGCCTCTTCTGGGTCGTAATTGGAGTTGTTTGAGGGGGAGAGAGAGAAGGAAATGAGAGGTTTAGAGAGAGAATGAAGGGAGGGTTTGGAGATTGGGAATGGAGAGAAGAAATTGGGGTGGAGAAGAGGAGGTGGTTGAGGTCTGTGGATTAGAGGAGGGTTGAAACTGAGAGGTAGGGAGGAAGACATTGAGAGACTGAGTGAGTGTGTAATGGGGATTTTCTATCTGATATTTTTGTGCTCTGGTGAGAAGTTTAAACCACACATAACAGATATATATAGGTGGCGGGAAGCTAAAGTGCACCGCATTCGCTGATAAGAGGGCTGAGCTAAAGTGCGCCGGGCATTTTTCCGAAGGAATTGGACTGTCTCCCGGACGGATTAGTCCAGCGCAATGAGGTTACTTTTGATTCCAGTTTTAATTTGAGTGTTGCCGTTAGTAAGGGTGGGCGCGGGTTGATTGCGGGTTGATTGTGGTTTTAGAACTTTTAATTCGTTATTCGTTCGTTAGATTGGTGGATTCGAGAAAATCAATTCGTATTCGTCCGTCAATTTAGCGGATGTGAATTAAGCGGATTGGCGGTTTGGTGGATGAATGTGAATCGATTTGGCGGTTTAAAATTTTATAAATCTTCAACATAATTTAACTTGTGCACTTCCTCAAAAAAAAAAAAAAAATACAGTGAATGACTTAAAAAAGTATTACAATCATTGTATGCCTCATCCAAAAAAAGAAAGTTTGAAATTTTAGAATATCACAATCACTATATGTCTCATCCACTTATTACAATCACAGCATGATTCATCCACATAAAGTATAATAATTTGTGGTTCTTAAAATATAATAACAATTCAAACCACCAAAATCATGAACAAAGTAGTAGTAGAGATTGTATGTCTCTGTATTGTAAAATCTATATATGTTTTTGAAAACAAAAACCAACCAGCATATATCATATTTTCTATTTATGATTTTTAGAGTTAAATTTAAAAAACAAAAAGTATAGATAAATAATACGTTTATTTTTTTCAATTCAAAAAATATATTCAAGTTGAAAACTTTTTTTCAACAGAATATTTAAACTTTTTTTCAATTGAAAGGACAAACAAAATATTTAAACAAATTGATAACATAAAGTCTTATAAATTATTAGGAGTGCTCGCGGTTTGGCGGTTTGGTTGCGGCCAAAGGAATCTCAAATCTGCCATCAGTCTGCCAAATTGGCGGATTGGAGAAAATCAATTCGCAACCATCCGCTCATCATCACGCATCCGTCCAAAATGCGGCGGATCAGTTTGGTTCGGTTGGTTTTGGCGGATCGGTATATCCGCTGCTCACCCCTAGCCGTTAGAATCTCATAAATTATTTTAGACTTTTAATTTTTAGTTTTTTTTTATTATAATAATAATTTTAAATAAAATTACTACAAAGAATATTATTAATTTTGAGACATTTTATCTCACAATTAAATCTACGCATCCATTACATCATGAATTAAGCTTTATAAGAGTATCCACTTCCATCACCACCCATCCATCTTTTCCGAATTCGATCTTCAAAACTTATTCACCCTCAAAACTTTGAAAATCCTTTGGCGGCAATGTTTCAGCGGTATCAGTGGCAACCATTTGATTACCTATACTTCTCCGGCAATGACAATGAGTGGAAGTTTGTCTGGCAACCACAACTCTATAAGACAAGAGGAGTACAATAATAGAAGTTTAGAGGAGGTTTATAACTTTGATGTTGTTCTTAGCTTAGAGGAGATTGACCTTGTAAGAGTAATTTTCTTGAAAAAAATGACAAAAATAATAAAATACGTTCGTCATTTTTTTCTAGACTGAATGCCGAAACATATAACCGAAATTTGGGAACACAGGCCCGAACATTAGTTATTTGTTTGGGAACCGGTAACCGAACATTTATTATTTGTTTGGAAACAAGTAACCGAACATTATTCATAGGTTTAGACCTTACTGAGAAAATTAAACCAATTATTATAATTTTTTTTTCTGTAAAAGAAGAAATTATTATGAGAAAACTAAGAAATTATGTGTATATTATATATATATATATATATATATATATAGAGAGAGAGAGAGAGAGAGAGAGAGAGAGAGCATACAAACTGTGATAATAATAGATGAGGCAGCAGAGACAGTAATCACATTACCTTTCCTTCTTCTTCTTAATGGGCTTTGTTAGAGTTTTTTAGAAAGTAGGGTTTTTTTGGGATATGAGGGTGTGGGGGGTGTGCATTTAATGGGTGAAATGTTTTCACAAGGATAATTTTGATATTATTTGGGGGGTAAAAAGAAATTTTAAGGATTTCAAAATTTATAAGTGGGGGTCCAAAGAAATGGGAGGTCTAAAATAATTCTCGAAGTGCTAATAGCACCATTCTTTAATAATTTGAACCGTTTATATTTTAAGATTTGTCAAGAATATTATTCTTGTAAAATTAAATCGATCGGATAACAAAAATCACATGTTCAGATCAATTTTATATGAACTGTTTATTTTCTCACCGCCTATTTTTTTCGTACAAAATTGATCAAAACATATGGTTGTCATTATTTGATCAATTTGATTTTTTGCAAGAATGATGTACTCGACGAATTTTAAAATGTGAACGGTTCGAATTATCAAAACGGAATCTAAAAGTAAGCCCATAAAATCCAATAGCACCCTCCAGTCTGATAGAGGACTAGAGAGAAGCCATAGCATTTTCAAGATGATACTTACCACTACCAAAATAGATAAATAAATGATTATTTAGATGGAGATTTCTTAAACTATTAAGAAATATCACTTTAACTTCTAAATTATAAAGATGTATAAATGAATTTTCTAAACTATTGAAAAGTATTACTTTATTCCTTAAACTATAAAAGCATACTAATTAACCCCTAGATTATTGGCATGTTCACTTTGATCTTTTCTATTAAGGGATCCAATTGGTACATTTTTATAGTTTGGTCTATTTATATGCTTTTATAATTTTGAAGACAAAATGATATTTCTCAATAATTTAAGGAGTCTATTTGCACATTTTTATAGTTTATGAGGTCAAAGTGATACTTATTAATAGTTATGTGTGTCAATTTCTGATCACACTGCCAATCAAGCACTCAGCTGGAGAACACTGGCAGAATAGATTAAGCCCGAACGACTTGTCACAAAAAGAAGAGATTCCGGCGGTGGTTCGTCCACCCGGGGGCACTCCGACGATCAAGTCAGTTATCTCTCAAAGATAGCAAAAGTGCTTAACTCACAATTTAGAGCATAAAAAGCATACCTTAGACCTATGAGGGTGCCTCTCTTTTATAGCCAACACAAATCTAGTCCCAATAGAAGCCTAACTTCAATGGACTTAGGATTACTGCAAATCTTGGACTCCCAGTAGGATTGGGATAAACTTAGTCTTATCTGTATCCAAACTGAAGTCCTCTCTCATTCTAAAACTCTTGTCTCTTATCCGCTTATCCTGGATTCCGGTATCTTCGCAGATAATCTCGGCCTGACCGAAATGATCTCGGCGTCATGACCAGGATACGTGGCACCTCGGCTGGCACTTCCTTGACACCTCGGCCACGTGTTGTCATTCAAAAATTATGTCCCCACAATAATTTAGAGAGTATTTGTGTAAAATAATCCATAAAAATATTTACACGAAAATCTCCTAAATTATTAAAAAAGTATCACATTAATCCCTTAAACTAAATAAATAAATAAATAAAATTACAAATTAACTCTTAAACTATTGAAAAGTACAAATACACAAATGTCTTTTTAAATAAGTTTGAAAAATTTCATCTTTTCATGTTTATTTGTCAAGATATTCAAGTAATTCTTCAAATTTTTTTTCTTTTTTGGTTGACTATTGCCAAAGTTTTTATATAATTTGTTTTTTTATCTACCTTGAAAGTCTTTATCTGAATTATTGCGTATTGAGTACTGGAATGAGTAAGAGTTTTATGCATTTCTTTTTTGCTGATGTTATTGATTCAGCAAAATAGGATACATATACATAAATTTATCTGTGCATAGGACGAGTTTTTTTCGCTAGTATTTAATAATTTAGTTGGGGTATAATATTTTAGGGATTTTGTTCCCTACTGGTGTTGTTTGGTCATTGAACCAAACCATATACATTGAATGACTCATCAAGAAGGTCATTTTTGCGCGCGCGCACAAAAAAAAACAAAAAAACAAAAAAAAAAATGAAAAAAATAATAATTATGTGGACACCTGTAACCACATTCTTAGATTTTATTTGTCATAAAAAAAATAAATGATAATTATAATTTTGATTATAAACCATTTGTCCTTTTGAAGATAAATGCAATCTAATGATGCACCAATAGTATTCAGATGAATGTAATTTTTTACAACGATGATTTTCTTAATGAGTTCTTTAGTGTAAATTGTTCGAATTATCAATATGAGTTTTATGGAGGACCCACGAGACCTAACAATACCTCCAATTCCAATTGGAGGAAGCCTTGCCTAATATTTTAAAACAAGATTATTGATGATGTAGTTTGTCCCAGTGAATGGATCGGACTAGTCCAAGCTCCTCAAGCTCAGGTCCAAATGATCAAGCCCACCGGATAACCTGCAAACAAGTTCAACGGGGAACAGGGTAGTCCCCCAGTGAACCCTCCGACGAGCAAGTTAGGAAGAGAAGTAGAGTGTAGAGGGAGAGATTAGAGATAGAAAAGCTTAACCTTCTTCTTGTCTTCAACGTTTGCTTATATCCTTTGGTAATCATTTCGCTGTCCCTTCCGACCTGACCTCCTCGCCGAAAGTCTATGTTGTAGCTTACCTTGTTCAGGGTAAGGGGGTCCTGTTCCGACGGAGAGGTGTTGTCGTAATAAATGCTGTGATGGGCTGCATTAATGGTGATGTGCAGTGGCAATAACTTTGCAGATCTTTGTCTGCTAATGTGGCTCGTCTTTCGCCTGCCATGTGTCTGAACGTCATTGTCTCTTTATGCCATGTTGGATTCCAGTTGTCCTGGACCTCACCAGCTGGGTTATGTATTGGGCTCCAAGTGATGGGCTTGGGTTGTTCATAGTGATTCATGGCCTTTATGGGCTTATACACGTCAGTAGTCCCCCATTCTCGAGTGCAGCTTTAGTCCAACGAAGGGAATACAAATGAAAAAGATGAGGGTGTTAGGGATTGGCAGGATGGAGGTCGACTGGCAGGGTGACTGAGAGGGTGAACCGATCGGGAGGTGGTCCGACCGTGCAGGGTGACCGAGTGGAAGGGCCGACCACAAGGAGGGCCGACCGCAAAGGTTGGCCGAGTGGGAGGGGTGACCACGAGAAGGGCCGACCGTGAAGGGGGGCCGACCGTGGAGGTTGGCCGAGTGGGAGGGTCAACCACGAGGAGGGCCGACCGCGAAGGGTAATCGAGTGGGAGGGTCGACCACGAGGAGGGTCGACCGCGAAGGGTGAAGTGGAGGGGCGTGGGGCTCGAGAGGCGGCGTGTCACGTGGTGATTTGAAGTGGAAAAGACAGGGTAAGGGGAGGAGACAGGGGATCGTGGTTGTACACGTGGCAACATCCCACCGGGGGGGAATTAGGCGTTAGATTAGAAGTGAAACGATAGGTCATTATGGGTGTTGAAAAGACAGTTTTGGCGGATGATTTGAAAAGTTTTCAAGCTGGCGAAAATTAATTGGGATCCTTGGAATACGGGCAAACCATGGGCTTTTGGCATTATTCGATTCACCTACTTGTTTACAAAAAATCAAAATATTCCAAGTGTGAATTCCTTTGTTGCTCGCGATACACCTCTGCAACACTTTTTCAACTTCCTTGCACCTGCATCCGAAGCGATTCGCAGGTATACCATAGAAATGGCCCAAGAAGAAACTGCGAATGTCAGGGTGGATCCACTTGGTGATGATGATGCAGTGGAGTTAGCACAGCAATATAGGATGGAGAGAGTGGGGGAGCCGGTGGTAGGATCCCATGGTTCCACTATGATAGCAGCTCCAAAGCCAATCAGCCAGGCAGAACCAGATCACTGGCATACAAAGGCAGATAGATCAATGGTTACTGCAGCGGATTTGGAAGCCATTCGCGAAAAATACCAAGTGCCTGCTGAAATAGAGTTGTTGTTGCCGATGTCGACGGAGATGCCATCCGATGCCAGGTCAGGGGAGTTTTCCCTTTATGAGGAAGCATTGAAGGGAGGACTGAGGCTGCCCCTGCCGCAAGTGGTGGTAGATGTCCTGAATCGTTTGGAGGTAGCGCCGGACCAACTAATGCCCAATGCGTGGAAGATCTTACTGGTTTGTGCAAGTGCGTGACCGAAGGCGAACGAAGGGGCGACCATGACAGTAGACGAATTCTTTGCATGTTACAAGGCCTCAAGGCAGCAAGAGACTTGGGTCACTCTGTAGGCAGCAGTAGGGAAAGGGCTGGTAGCGGTGCTACCATCATCGAGGGTGGAGACCACGGTGGTTCCATGTATCTGCCAGTGGAGGGGTTGGAGTGCGCACCATTTGGAAAGTGCCCACCAAGTCTGTGGAGCCAAAGCTGGGAGCACCAGCAGAGGAGAGGGTGAAGAGAGTAAAGGAATGGAGAGAGAAGGAAGGGGCCAGGTGGGACGAGCTCGTTCAGCCGTCGGCTTTGTTTGAGGTAGGGTTGGGTCCACAGCCGAGTGGTGGGGACCTCGACCGAACGAAGTTGGAGGCAAGGAGGAAGGCTCAAGAGGCGGAGGATCAGACCATCCTTGCCAAAGCCCAAAAATTCAAATAGTCTCAGGTAGACCGACCGCCAAAGCCGGTTGCAAGGGAGAGGATCCGACCACGACCCAAACCCTTGGGGGAAAAAAACTTAGGTGAATTTGTGCCACGACCGCCCCCAATAGATCCTTTGAAGGAGAGGTTGTTGAAGGAGATGGAGGTGTTGGGCGTAGTAAAGAAGAAGAGGAGAGTGGGGAGGAGTGAAAAAGAGCCTGCCTAGAAGAGAAAGAGGGAAGTGAGGGCAGAAGAGACCAGTATGGCGAAGGAGGCAGAGGGGGGGGGGAAGTGAAGGAGACCCCAGGAAGAGTAATTGCCCCAGAAGTGGTGGACATTGCCTCAGAGTGCATGGAAGTCGTTCCAGTAGTGGCGGCGATCGCCGCGGGGGTCGCGAGGGTCGCCCCTAAAGTGCAAGTAGAAGGTGGGGCGACTGGCCCTGAGCCAAGGAAGGGAGAACAGCCCCAGGGGGGTCCTGCACCCTAAGGAGGGGGAGTCAGTCTGACTACTGCGATCTACCATGCTCGTGCGGTGGCTGGGCGGCTGGAGGGAGAAGAAGGCCCAGCCAGGGTAGGGGCAGACCGCCTTGTGGGGATTGTAGAAGAGGCAGCCTTGCGCTTAGCAGCCAGATTCAATGAGGCTGAACTGCTGAGGGAGTTGAGGGTAACCACCTCAGCAGGGCCTCTGCTGAGGAAGGCTGGGGCTGCAAAGCTCAAGGCAAATGAGGCCAAGGCTCAACTTGCAAGGTTGAAGAAGGAGAGCGCAAACTGGGAGAGTGCCCACGCTGAGCTGCAAACGGTCAAGGTGGAGCTGGAGAACACACGCCGCCAGGTTGTGTCGCTCGAGTTCCAACTGGCTAGCGAGCAGAAGAGGTTGGATGATGCCCAAAAAGCCTACGCGGTCGCGGTCAAACGACATGAAGAGGCGATGAGTAGTAATGAAGAGCTGGTCAGGCAGAAGGATGAAGCAAACGTGAAGATTGACGGTCTACAAAAGGAGCTGGAGGGCGAGCGTGCTAAGGCAGTGAAGGAGAAGGAGAGCCTTCGGAAGGAGTTGGAAGCAGAGAGAGCCAAGGCGGCTGCTGAAAAGGAAAGCCTTCAGAAGGAGTTGGAGGCAGAGAAAGCCAAGGCAACTGCTGAAAAGGAGAGCCTTCAGAAGGAGTTGGAGGCAGAGAAAGCCAAGGCAACTGCTGAAAGGGCGACCTTGGATAAGGAGTTGGCAGAGGAGAGGGCTAAGGCAGCCTCTGAAAGGGCGGCTTACCCCGATCTTTATGTGGCAGCAATGGACCAGTTCAAGGGGTCTGCTGAATTTCAGATGGCAGTGGATGCCGCGGTTGCCAGTAGCTTGGCGATGGAGTAGTCTGGGGGGCGGGTCCGTCGAGGACGACTGCTGGAGGAAGGACTGAGGCAAAAGTGATTGAGAGCTTCCAGCGGTCAGACTTTTATAAGCACGAAATGGCTGAGTTCTGGGACAGTGGTTGGAAAATGTTCAAGCGTAAAGCTGAGGAGCTGTTCCCAGACTTGGACCTGAGTAGTGTGAAAATCGATGACGACGATGTGGCCCAGACCCCCCTTGATGAGGGTATTGAAGAAAAAGACCTTGTGTCCAATAAAGAGGAGTAGTTTGAAGAAGAAGAAGAAGAAGAAGGCCTTGCACAGACCTTGTGTGTCTGTGTTTGTTTTGTTTGTTGTTTTGTTTTGTTTTCTGTTTTGAATGGCTGTAATGAACTCATGTGCAAATTTCTGAATAAATAAAATTGTAATTATGTTTTCATTTGATTGTCTGTGCTTGTGCAACTGAAATGAATGAGGCGTGGGCGAGGCGTGTATAACTCATTGTGAAGTGCAAAGTGGAGTTAAACTTGTAATAAGAAATAAATTTAAGAACTCCTTAGTGTAGAGTGAAATTGAAGTTGTAATAAAAACTCAATGCAGGGTAAAGTTAGGAACTCCTCAATGCAGAGTGAAATTTAAAATGTAGTAGAATTATAAGTTTGTGTTTGCCACACTGCTGAAGTAGATTAGTGGTTTATTAGAGTGAGGCTTGGCTTGTAAGGAAACAGGCTGACTTGTAAGAGTTTGATTGAGAAGAAAATAACCTGACTTGTAAAGAAAACGTGTAAGAACGTCTTTGGAATTTGGCTAAGTAAAGAGTGGTGTAAAGACCTGGAATTGTGACTAAGTGTGTCTACTAATTCCACAAGCATGAAGTTTGCATAGATAGCTTTGACCGAGCCCTGCACGCGTGCTCAGTTGGGGCTAAGCTATGATTCACTGACGTTGTAAGGAACTCAGTCTGAACCTAAAATTGTGGCGCTCGGTCCAGTTGAGACTTGTTATGCTTAGGCTGGCTGAGGCTTGGTCTGGCCGAGTGCTTCATGCTCAGTCTGGGTGAGGCTTTTAGTGCTCAGTCTGGGTGAGGCTTTTTGTGCTCGGTCTGGCTGAGGCTTTTTGATGCTCAGTCTGGCTGAGGCTTTATGATGCTCAGTCTGCTGAGGCTTTTGGATGCTCAGTCTGGCTGAGGCTTTATGATGCTCAGTCTGGCTGAGGCTTTTCGATGCTCAGTCTGGCTGAGGCTTTATGATGCTCAGTCTAGCTGAGGCTTTTCGATGTTCAGTTTGGCTGAGGCTTTATGATGCTCAGTCTGGCTGAGGCTTTTTAGTGCTCAGTCTGGCTGAGGCTTTATGATGCTCCGTCTGGCTGAGGGTTTTTGATGCTCGGTCTGGACGAAGCTTTTTAATGCTCAGTCTGGCTGAGGGTTTATGATGCTCAGTCTGGCTGAGGCTTTTTGATGCTCAGTCTGGACGAAGCTTTTTAATGCTCAGTCTGGCTGAGGCTTTATGATGCTCAGTCTGGCTGAGGCTTTTCATGAGGGTTGCAATCAAAACGTCATTGAGACACCATACAGATAACTGAGATATATAATTGTTGGCAGGGAAAGTGTAACCCAGTTAATCAAAAAGTTACATTGCGTAAGGGGATATCAAGAATGTGTAAATTTGCCGAAAAGAAAATACAATAACTGAGCGATACAAAAGTAAGAGCTTATTGAAAGTAACGTTTCAGGTGTTCGACGTTCCATGGGTGGGGGAGGTCTCGACCTTCCATGTCCTGAAGTCAGTAGGTGCCTGGACGTAGTCGGGCTTTCACAACGTAAGGTCCCTCCTATTTGGCTGCCAGTTTACCTTCAGTCGGATTCTTGGTGGCAAGAGTTGCTTCTCTCAAGACAAGGTCCCTTACAGCGAACTCCCTTGGTCGGACTTTGCGGTTGTAGTGTGTTCTCATTTTCTGTTGGTATGAGGCCAGTCTGACAGCAGTGGTCTTTCTGAGTTCTTCAATTAGGTCCAGGCCTACCCGACGGAGCTCTTCGGTTAGTGCTGGATCCGGATGTAAAACCCTGAGAGTAGGCAGACCGACTTCTACTGGAATAACCACCTCAGCGCCGTATGCTAAGCGGAAAGGGGTTTCCCCAGTGGGAGTCCGAGCTATAGTTCGGTAAGCCCAGAGTACATTCGATAGTTCCTCAGCCCAAAGTCCCTTAGCAGCTTCGAGCTTAGTTTTGATGATCTTCAAGAGAGAACGGTTGGTGACCTCGACTTGGCCATTGGCCTGGGTATGACCAGGGGAAGAGAAACATGGTTGAATCTGGAGGTCGGCACAGAACTTCCTGTACTTGGCATTGTCAAATTGTTTGCCGTTGTCGGAGACGATGGCTTGAGGGATGCCAAATCTGCAAACGATCGACTGCCAGATGAACTTGGTTGTGTTCCGCTCGGTAATGGTGGCAATGGGTTCTGTTTCTACCCACTTGGTGAAGTAATCAATGGCGACGATCGTGAACTTGGTCTGACCTCGACCGGTGGGAAGTGGACCGACCAAGTCGATCCCCCATTTGGTGAATGGATAAGGGTTGCAAAGTGTGATCAACTCTGTAGGAGGAGCATGGGAGATGTTGGCAAAACGTTGACACTTATCACATTTGAGCGCGAAATCAGTCGCATCTTGATTGAGAGTTGGCCAGAAATAACCAGTACGGAGTATTTTGTGGGCCAGAGAGCTGCCGCCCTAATGATTACCTCAAATTCCCTCATGGATTTCTCGCATTACATAGGTTGCTTGAGCCGAATTGAGGCATCGCAGGTATGGACGTGAAAAACCACGTTTGTATAAGACGCCACTAACCAGGATGTAATTGGACGACTGGGCCCTGACTTTGGCGGCCTGCTGTTGGTCATTTGGGAGTTCTCCCGTTGTCAAAAATAGGAAGATGTCGGACGCCCAAGGGATAGGTTCATTTTGGAGGAACTGCACTTCTTGTAAGTCGGGTGAGATGGCCGGGTGGGCTAGGTATTCGAGGCGGACACCGTGGCTGAGGTCGGACTGGTCTGTAGAGGCCAACTGAGCCATCTCATCTGCCTTGGAGTTTTCCGCCCGAGGTATGTGCTTGATGTGAAAGGTATTGAAGAGGCGAACAAGGGGGAGGGCCATATCCCTAAAAGCCCGCATTGTGTCCTTCTTGGCATCGAATTCCCCCGTAATCTGGCTGACGATGAGTTGGGATTCGCTGAACACCCGGATGTGGCTGACTCCAATGTCCTTGGCGAGGCGGAGTCTTGCTATGAATGCCTCATATTCGGCCTCATTGTTACTGGCATTAAACAAGAAACGGAGAGTGTAGACACCTAATTTTTGACCGTCCTTAAGACTTGGACGTCATCGTTTGAATACTCGATGATTACCTTTGTTTGTGTTCGTCTTGAGTTCTCGGAGGTTTCGGCTACGCGCCTTACCTCAAGACCTCTCGACTTGTTTGTTTTGTGTTTGGTTTTGCATCAAACACTTGTTGTTTTGCTTCTGAGGGTGGGAAATAGCTTGTAGGCCATCCCCACATCTCACCGGCCATGGCTTGAGGCCACCGGCCTTGTTTCCTTGCCACCGGCCATTGGTGATGGCCAGTCGGCACTATTAATGGTCGGTCGGCATTGTGTTTGGTCGGCCGGCCACTGATTTTGGTTAATCGACCACTTTTTCTGGCCAAGACCTTTTCTTGAGGGGGTTTGAACCTTTTGAACCCTTGGTTCTAGCTTCTTGAGAAAGCTTGACCTTTTGAACACTTGGTTTTAGCTTCTTGGGGAAGCTTGAACCTTTTGAACCTTTGTTCTAGCTTCTCCAAGAAGCTTGAACCCTTTGTTTTAGTTTCTCCAAGAAGCTTGAACCCTTCTAAGCTTCCAAGAGGAGCTTGCACTTTTTGCACCTTTTCTTCTAGCTTCTCCAAGAAGCTTCAACCCTTGTCTAGCTTCTCCAAGAAGCTTGACCCTTTTGTTCTAAGCTTCTTGAAGAAGCTTGGACCCTTTGACTTAGCTTCCCTTAGAAGCTTGCCCCTTTTTGACCCTTTTGCCTTAGCTTCTCCAAGAAGCTTAAGCCTTTTGCCTTGCTCTATAATTAGAGAGCCTCTTCTTCCATTTCAAGGATTCCAAGAAATTTGTCCAAGACCAAAACATATATCTCTCTTGATATCTCTACATCCAAGCCTCCAAAGTGCTTGGTTCTTGACCCCTTTGCACCCCAACTCCTAAGCACACACCTCCACCATTCATCTAAGGTTCTTGGAGGGTCTCGTGGAGGCTCAAGACTTGGTTTTGACTCAGAAAAATCTGCTGGAGTGCTGGTTTTGAAGAAGGTCTTCAAGGGTGAGTTTCTAAGCCTTAAATCCCCCGTTTTTGCACACACTTTTAGCCTGTCTTGCATGCTGTTTTGAGCTTAACTTATAACTGAAAAAAGTCTTGTTTTTAGTGCTCTAAATAGTTGTTTAAGAGTGTTTTAACCTTTGGGGTTGTTTGACCCCTCTTAGGCCTTGTTTGGCCCCATTTTGTGCTATTTTTGGTGAGCTTCGGGACCACCTTGTTTGGGCTTCCTCACCACTGAAATCTTGAGGGATTTCAATGGTGAGGATGGTGTCTTAAGGTCCTAAGAAGGAGAGGGCCATCCCTTCTCCTTGTTGTCTTCAAAAAGTGCCATTTTAGCTTCATGTGTGAGCACCATTTTTAAGTTCATGTTGGCTATGCCTTAAGTGTTATTTGTGCTTATTTTGCCATGGTATAGCACTTTTTTCACTTGGTTTAGACACACCATGCTTGCTTTGCATACTTGTCTTGTAATGCTATGAAATTGCCTTAACATGTATCTAGTATTTAGACCACTATGTTTACTTGTTTTGGCTTAGCTTTGTGAAGCTTTTATGCATGTTTTAGTGTGTTTGAGGACTATTTTTGGTTGTTTGGGTCATCCATGATTTGCTTTGTATAGCTACCATGCAACCTCCCTTGTAGGCCTTGAGTGTTGGACCCTCTGGCATGCTCT